AAAAGGCTCCTCCAATGATCACATCTCCATTTTTAGACAGCAGAGGAGACTCTGGAATCTCCAGTATCTCACAGAGAGGGATCTCTTCTTTCGCTGTGCCACACCACAACAGGACTGCCATGAAAGCCAACCCTGTCATTGCTGTGGACATTTGTGTCATCATTGAATCAGATAAGGAAAAGCCATTAAAGTTAAATATGACCTTTATCATGCCGCAATCCTACTCAGCCAATCAGAATTTAGTGGGTCAGGGCAGCCATGATTGGGCCTTGTTTTTGGAAAAAAAACAAAAACAATATAGAATATACTTCAGTCAATAGATTCCATGGTTGGCTATCTAAAAAAAATCAAATAAAAAATACATACATAGAAATGCATATTAGGAAACTAGGGATAAAGCTGGCTGTGTATGTTACAGTTTGCATCACTGTGAGGGGGCTTCAAATGCCAACCAAGAGGTATTCAATGAAACCCTTTTTCTCCTTTGCCAACTGTCTGTTTACAAATGCAACAGGTTAAAAAAAACAAACTCAAACATTCCAGTACCCTGCCTGCAGGTATTGGGCAATTTTCACCAAACTAACGCATGCCCTGACATACCTCAATGCATCTTCTTTGTTGTTGGGAAATTAGCTTCAGGCGCATTACTTCCATCTACTGGGCTGTAGCGTGTATGACGTGTGTGAAAGGAATTGGGGAACTTAAAAAGATTAGAAAATACATTTTATTTTTATTATGATCTTTTTAGACTTTAGATTTTCAGTATAGTGATAATAATAAGCTTACACTGCGTGGTCTTTAAATAATACATACATTGCAACAATCACAGATTGTATTACATTTCTCAGATGGTTTAGATAGTAACACTTGTGTCATGCCCTAAAAAAAGCAGAATCAAGACAGGAGGCCTTCACTTTAGCAAAATGCAATGTATCTTAATGCCTGTGTAACAGTTTTTTAGTACAGCAGTGGGATGTTATTAGTATGCAACTTCCATACCAGACTGACTTTTTAACTGTCCTTATTTGATGCTGGAAAAAGGGCTTTCTTCAAACCCATGCTGCAGAAAAAATGTAATACTTAGAATGAATACAAATTGCACAGCTTTTTAATTATCAAAAGAAGTGACCATATTTATGTATTTATGTTATTTAAGTTGGCCCTTTTGTTGGCAAATATGGCAGTCCAGATGTATTTTTAAAAAACATGATCTAGTTCGAGTTTGATCTGCTGTCCATAAAAATGCAACAATATGGTAAGTAAGTGATACATTTATCTTGGAAGTTAATAATTCAGAAAAGAAAATTAATGTTATTTGGTGAATTATTTTACATGTCAGGCAATCTCACACATTCAAAGGATTGTTTTAATCATTGTTCAGATTATTATTTTTTTATCAAAATCAATCATTTAAATAACTTTGAAAAAAAAGCTGAAAAAGTTCAACATGATGTTACTGGTTCTGTTAATTCACTTTCCTCTTTTCATGCTTTTTTCCAAATAGAACCACTGTATGAAATGAATGAGGATTATCATAATTCAACCATCTTTTAGAGAGAGCACCGGTTAAACTCTTGCATATTGGTTTTTCCAATCACTTAAGAGTGTAACAATACAATATGATTGGATGCTGATATGGATAGATGGTTGAATGGGTGGATAAGCAATAGAACAATGAAACACCATGTACAATGTTGCCATCTCCTGGCTTTGTGGAGCCATTGCTGAAAACCTGCAATTACAACGTTATTATTGTGACTGTGATTATTATCATAATAATCATCCATCCATCCATTATCGTTACCGCTTATTCCCTAATGGGGACACAGGGAAAACTGGAGCCTATCCCAGTGGTCAATGGGCAAGAGGCGGGGTACAGCCTGGGCAGTCCGCCAGTCCATCGCAGGGCCATCATGATAATCATTGTCATAATAATTGCAACATATTATTATCACGATGAAGATGCATACAGAGTAAGATGAATTATTACATTTTTCTAATAACATTGATGACAACATTTAAACGTTAAAAGCAGTCAGACGAAAAAGACATGGAGACATCAATCAATAGCATAATAGTTATATAGGAGGGGGCAATGTGTTGTTTTATTAATAAAACAATATATATAAATACATATATATGTGTGTGAGTCTGTGTGTGTGTTGTAAAACATTGTAAAAGAATATCTATTTACGAAACAGCCTTTATAAGCAGAATTTCCGATTTTCTCCACTAAACAGATGGTGTTCTTTGGCAGAATGAAGGAGCAGGCCCAATCAATACTACTTTCTCTAAGATAGTTTTAATAGTTTTTTCGCTCTTGGGCAAGGCTCTGAACCCCAAGTTGCCTGCAGGTTACATCTGTTGTATCTACTGGTGTGAATGTGCGTGAGAAAGGTGAATGTTGTTTAGTGTAAAGCGCTTTGAGTGGTGAGTTTGACAGGAAAAGCGCTATATAGGAGCATTCTCATTTAAACATTTTCTACAGTAAAGTAAGTGTGGATCCCTCAGAGGACTGCACAGCGGACTGTGTATGTGATGGAGTGAATTGTAGGTTACTGCTTTGACACTGTGTTCCCAACCCTAAACAGATAATTTAACCCATGTACCTTTACGAGTGGTCACTGGTTGATTAATATGTTAATGTGTTATTCATTTTTTAACTAATGACTGTGAGCAATCTCAAAAAGACCACTCAGGTCCTCTGAATGGTTCCGGGAAACCCAAATGTCATTCATAGATCATATTTTAGGACAAATCCTTGTGGTGCTTTGTGGTAAATTTGGAAGTGTGAGAAAGCGGGAAGCAAAACATGTCCAAGTATGCCATTGTGCTGGCCAAAAGTCTTTATCCCTCACGTTCACTTGGTCAAATGTCCATGAGCCACATGCTTGGCTTAGAACGAGCTAACATTTTGCTTGTTTGTGGGGTTTGGAGGAAGACCAGTTTTCTCTCGATTAAACTAGTCACGGTCTGTAGAGCTTTAAAAGTCTTGCCGAGTAAACTTTCTAGCGGTTATATAGAAGGCCAGACAAATAAAACAAGACAAAAAAGAACTTGGGGATCAGAGCCATAAACCAGCCAGCCTAAACCACAGTTGATCGATCCCCATGTCTCAAGAGAATATCTTGCCAAGTCAAGACAATTTTTCAAGTCAATAAAAAACTTTCTAGATTGAGAGAACTCACGTTCCTTATTCACTTTTACGAACGTTATTCACTTTAATGTCTTCATTCATCAATCTGACAAAAACAAACGCTTTAATGGAAACTTTGAACGTTGCACAGCAACTCTATATTTTGTTCTTCTCTTTTATGTTAAACAGCTGAAAAGGTTTCTGTGGATCTTTAAACAAGGTACTGTACTTTCAAAATACATACATCTTATTTAACTTTACTTAGATTTATTTTTTAAATCGTTTATCAACTTCTTTGTTACTCGCAATATGTACTTAATCCTGTTAAAGATAACTTTTTTGTGCTGGATATATCAAACAAAATCTGTGAACATGATAAGGAAAAATATTTCTTTTTAACTTTGCTAATTGATGAGTACACAGTGTTCTGAAAGAGCCAAGAGGATTGTCAATTAATAAAGCAAACACATTTCTAATTAATTAATTTCCAAACCAACACCTGGTGAGCTCTCGCTTCTCAGCCTCAGGCCACAATCTAATCACTTCTGTCGGAAACACTTGCTTGTCTTTGCTTGCCCAGCTGGGCCCTTACTCCCCTCTCAGGCCCCTGGGGTGAAATGTAAATTGGCAGGATGATGTCACAATGTTGTCTCTCTTTCACAATATGCACAAAAACAAGTTGAAATGCTTCCCAAGAGTAGAAGTTATTCAAGGATGTCTAAGATTGAAACAACAACATCTCTTTGGTTGTTTTCCAAGTCCCAGACAAGAAGCCCCCACCACACTCTCTAAAATTTATGACAAGATCTATTTGAGAAATCAAACTTGAAAAGACTCCCATAACGTGTAATATTATCTGTACTCAATATATAAGAAAATGTAGTCCACATCAGATTGAGGTGAAATGTATGTCTGCAAATAGCACAACTAAGTTATAAAAGGATATATTGTTCTTATTGTATATTAGGTAACAGTAAAATTAAATTAAAATATAAGCTCATTTCATTTTGAAAACAATGAGCAATATTGGGATGAAGTGGGTGATCATATTTCAACTAAAGGAAAGATTTAGAGCTCAGTAATATGTACATGAAGCAACTTCTGTTTCAAGGACACAAAGATGTTTTTAAGGAATACAAATAAACTTGATTCAATTTGATAGAACATCAAGCAGAAACAAAACTCTTTGCAGGGCGGTACTGCCTGAAATGTGTTACCTGTCAACATTACCAAGGGGTGGGTTTCTTTTGAAGACAGGGCCCCACCTGATCTTTAATTCATCATCTGGCCTGTAATTCTGCATTGATCGGATTTTGTGTCTTTCTGCTCTTCAGCATGTGAAATGCAGCTCACCTGGTGTTAGATTTGGTGAATGTCTGTGAAGACATCCAACATGTTTCTGGGTCATCATTATCCTGTTTTGTGAAACTGCTGCAATTACATTATACTACATGTATTCATTTTAAACATGCAACAAAGTTTTTTTTACGGTTTTCTTTCTATTTGCTCTCACAAAAACCTCTCACTTGGAGCATAATGCTCAGTTCAGGACATGTTTTTGTCACAGGCCCAAAAAGATTCACACGTTCCCACCTCATACAGCTGTTTTCAGGAAGTATCTTGATTCTATTTGATAATATGATTAGACAAAGAGGGCGGCACGGTGATGTGGGGGTTAGCACCATCGCCTCACAGCAAGAGGGTTTTGGGTTCAACTATGTCCTTTCTATGTGGAGTTTGCATGTTCTCCCTGTGATGGACTCCCAGAGTCTCGCCCATTGAATACTGGGATAGGCTCCAGGCCCATTTGGAAATAAGTGGTTTGGAAAATGGAGGGACATTTCCCATCTTAAATGAGATAATACAGTTTTTTTTAGGTTTTCACATAATTTTAAATTATTTCTTTCCATAATTACTTAAAAAACTGAAATACAGATGCTGACTGTATGTGCTATTAGGTTACAAACATACCAACATCATTTGTTGAGAATCATTTCTACATAAAAAGAAATGAAAAATTACCCAAAGGAAGCTGATTCTATATTACCATTTTGTGGGGGATTCTGAAGACAGTTTTATTCAGATTTGGAGTTGATTTATAATTGTGTAACTACAGGTAAGTTAAGCATTGTCTGTGTGAATATTAACAAGCAGATCATTTGAATAATGTAAAATACCTATTAAATTAAATACATCCTAAAAATAATCACAGTCAAACGTGTCACACCTTTTTTTTTTAAAAAAAGACTTCAATAGTAATAGATAAGGCATACAACATGTTCATAAACCTATCAAGCTTCTGTTAGTGAAAAATTGAAAGTGTATGTCCATCCTGAGCTTTTAGGGATCAACCATGCCAGTTTGAGAACACCGGTTTGTCCTTTGACCATTCAAAAAGGTTTTGCTTGTTTTCTATCTAAAAAATGAAATAGTCCAAAGCACATGATTCCTTTCATAAGTATGCAACATCATGATAGATTCAATCTTCTCCAGAGGCCTTCCAAGTCAATAACATCACAAATCCGTAAGCGATGACTCACTCTCCATGTCGCTGGATTATTTATTCTGCAGCACCCTGTTTGGAATTTGTAACAGACCACACTCTAATTTGCATAAGGCCATGTCTGCAGTGCACGTAGATGGAAGCATAGTAATTGTCTAAATTTGTTTCTTTTTCTATGTGCAGAATGAATGCACAATTTTATGCTAAAACAATGTTGCATATTTGTACAGGGCAGAAAACACATTTATTCAAGTATAACGAGTGGTTTGCTTTTAAACAAAAACACAGATCCACTCCCACTCTCACAGTTCAGAATAAGTCAGTAATGTGTGCTGGTTTTGTTGCAAATCTAATTTTTAAAAGATCTCGGGCCTGTGATCTCGGGCATCTGCTTTTGAGGAACCCGTGTTGGGAATCACTGGTTTAGATGAAGGTTTGGCCAATTCATTATAGCAGAATATTTCTCAAGGGAAATGTTCAACACTGATAAGCAGCTTTAAGAGATGCTCATTGCTTTAAACATCAGCGTCTGAAATACAGTGAAACTTTTCTGCATTCATCTTTAGCACGTGTTGTAAAAAAAGTGAAACCATTCTTTAACAGTAGATCTCATCCTGCTGTTATTGAGAGAATCTTTGATTTTTTTTCAACTAATTAAATATTACTGTCTACCTCATTAATCCCTCTTTCTTTTTGGAGGGTTATTTCCCCTTTTATTTCTTTGCATGAGTGTTTATTTTTATCATTTAGGGGGGCAACAAGAATGGAACCGCTTGTGCTCAAAAGGTTCTGATGACACTGACATTATGAACAGCATTGATAAACTACGCTATGATTTTCTTGTTTAAGTGACATTATTTTCTACCTTTATCTCTGAGAGAAGTTCCTTCGGGCTGGGTGCTGAGTGTCTTACGATCCCCCTCCTTTATGTTGTGAGTGTCACAGAGGGACAGATTAAGTGGATAAGGACACCAATATGGCCTGAGGCGGCACAACACATTGTATGAAATAATCTCTTTGCTCCTAAAGAGGTATTTAGAGCTTTGTATTGTACCCTGCAGGGTTTAGCTTGTTAATGATTTGTAAACTGCTGCGTTCAACTTTTTCATTAACCTACTTTTTATAATATAGATGAACATGTTCAACACGAGTAAAACAATGTTTTACTAGATAAATATGATAATATATGTTGTAATTGTGGAAGGTATTTTTCAGCTAATTTGCACATAATAAATACACATTCATAATAATAAATTGATCATTTGTATAAATGGCTTTTTTAGTATTATTGATGACATATTTTTCTTGTTTAATATTATCTGTGTGTATGCTTTTGTCGGGGGTTCTAATATTTCACTTAATTAAAAGTAAAGTATATGCTACAGTAAGAGAAAAAATCTTAGAGGAACCAGTAGTGCTTTTAGGTGAAGGTAACACAACCAGGGTACAAAGTATTAAGTACGTATTCTGATTTGAAATGACAGACAGATAAATGCAATAACTGCTACAGTGCTGCAGGCCTCTTCATATCAATGAAGGATGAATTAGCGCTACTCAGGCATGACACAGCGACATGACATGGCCCATGTCTGGGTCTATTAGGATCAAGTATCCATTCCAGCTGTTATTGTCGCATGTTTCAGATGGGGGTTCTTTTCCAATGTTTAGAAACTCTGGGGAAATTATGTAAATCTGATGATTATATCATGCTGAAGATACTTTTGTATTTATATGAGCAGCAAAGCCTCTCATTCTTGACACTTGAGACAAGATAGTTAATCTGTACAGTAATAATTGGTAACTTGAAAATGTTAATGTATGATCTTAGGTTGGAAAGATTACGGTAATTTGATCGAACTATTAATAATGGAGCACATATTCTTGATAGATTGTGTAGATTTGTGAGTTGGCTTTGTATAACATTTTACATTTGATCTCTCTTAGTTCCAGAGACTTCAATTTAGAGTTGTTTTGAAGGGCAGCATGTTTTGTCCTTTTTTTAAAAATAATTCAGTATTTGTATTTAAGATCCAAAATCTTACCATTTGAAGTCTGTACTGATATTCTCTGCAATAGGAGGAATTGTTTTTGGATGAGACCTATTGAGCCCAGTCTTTCTGGAAGAAGAGCCAGACTCGTGCTTTTGAGTCTTCTGTGCAGTGGGATTTTCCCCTGTGACTCCCATCCAGACCAAAGCCCACAATGTCACATTTTTCCAAGCGGTACATCGCTGCCCGTGCTGGAAAAAAAGGGTGACATAATTTTGGGGGGACTCTTCTCCCTTCATGACATGGTGGTGCAGCCCAGTCTGCCTTTCACCTCTCCTCCTCCTGCCACACAGTGTACCAGGTAAGATGGGCTTCACTTTTTGCTAAATTAATTCTCATTGAGCATGTTCTGCCTGTAATTCTGCCTATACCACAGTTAAAAATGACTCATGCCCCATGTTTCACTTGAATATTTATTTCTTCTTCCCCTAGATTTAATTTTCGGACTTTCCGCTGGATGCAAACCATGATCTTTGCAATCGAACAGATAAACAGAGATGGTAAACTTCTTCCAAACCTCACACTGGGTTACAAGATCTATGATTCATGTAGTACGCCACATCAGGCTTTAAAAGCTGCCATGGAGTTGATGGGAAGCGAAAAGGGGTCAGTTATTGAAGAAAAGAGCATGAGTAATGGCTCCTGTCGTGGGAAAGTACCAGTGGTGATTGGAGATGGAGGATCCACTCAGTCTCTTGTTGTGGCTCGTTTCCTGGGAGTCTTTAATGTGCCACAGGTAAATGCAGCCATGAACGTTTCTGTTATCCCAGAGGCAGCGCAAAGTACTGCTTTGGGAACTTTGACTTAAGTCACACCCGCTTCTGTAAGAATGTTTTAATCTGGGACACTGGTTATTTTTGTCTGAAGTAAGTCATTGTAGAATAAATTCAATATTGCAGGTCAGCTATTTCTCCAGCTGTGCCTGTCTGAGTGACAAAAGAGAGTTTCCTGCCTTTTTGAGGACCATGCCGAGTGACTTCTTCCAGGTTAGAGGAAGTTGAGGATATTCTTTTTTTTTATAATTTACTTCTGAGCCTCATTCACTTATTTTCCATCGTTCTGTTTCCAGGTAGATGCACTAGTACAACTTGTCAAGCATTTTGGCTGGACTTGGGTGGGTGTGATTGCTGGGGATGATGCCTATGGTCGTGGTGGAGCAAGCATCTTTGCAGATGAAGTAAATCCCACATGGATACATAAACAATGAAAAAAATTGTTTCTCATTTTACAGTTAAATTCGGATATCATCACAATCTTTATTTACGTTTCTTAGGTCAGAAAGTTGGGTGCTTGTATTGCCTTTCACGAGATCATTCCAAAGAATCGAACACAGGCTGATATCTCATCTATCGTTTCCAACATCCACTCGTCAGGAGCTCAGGTTGCTCTGGTGTTTGCTGTGGAACAAGATGCAGCTGCATTATTTGATGAGACGATCAGGTATGACCCTTTCATTTCGGTTCTTCTTCAAAACACTAGATTTTGTTGTTGGTATATTTTAATGTGTTACAGCATTTGAATTAATAACGTGTTTTTAACTACAAGATGACAAGCTTTTATTTCGTAATCTAGAGGAGAGCTCACTGGCATACAGTGGCTGGCCAGTGAAGCTTGGAGTACAGCAACCGTTATTTCTACCCCAGAAAAGTACCATCGTATTCTCCAGGGCACCATGGGATTTGCCATTCGAGGAGCCCGTATACCTGGATTGCTAGACTTTCTGCTTCGCCTGAACCCCTCAAGCCCAGATGCACACGAGGATCCTTTCTTGGTACCGTTTTGGGAGGAAATGTTCCAATGCAGCTTGGGTATGAAGGCTAATGGCCAGAAGCAAAAAGCTGACAATAAGCCTTTATGCTCTGGAACAGAGGAGCTTGGAAAGATAAGGAATATATATTCAGATGTGTCACAGCTAAGGATTTCCTACAATGTCTACAAAGCTGTATATGCCATTGCCCATGCAGTTAAGACCATGAGAAGCTGTAAAAATGGGAAAGAACCACTTCCACAGCAGGATTGTCCAGATACAGACAATATACAGCCATGGCAGGTACCACTTCATATGTTGATCACAAAGACTTACTTCAATATTTTTATTTTTTATTTTTTTTATTTCATGATGTGTTCTTTCGTTATGTAGCTACTCCAATACATAAGGGAGGTGCGATACTTGAACTCATTTGCTGATGAAGTCAAGTTTGATGAGAACGGTGACCCTGCAGCCATGTATGACCTGGTTAACTGGCAGCTGAAACCAAATGGAGAAATGGAGTTTGTCACAGTGGGAAAATTTGATGAGATGACCACATCTTTTAGGCAAAAGCTTCAGATCCAAGAACAGAAGATTGTATGGAATGGCAACCAAACCAAAGTAAATATCTTCACGTTGTAAAAAAGCGCCTGTAAATTGCTTTTATATTTTCCCAATGCATGACCAGTGTAGTTTGGGTTTGTTCTTTTTCTAAGGTTCCATTGTCAGTATGCAGCACCATTTGTCCCCCAGGCACCCGGAAGGCAATCAGACCTAACTTCCCTATCTGCTGCCATGATTGTGTGGCTTGTACAGCGGGGGAGATTAGCAATCAGAGTGGTGAGAAAAGGACATTTGAACAAAAGTTTCAATCTCCAAATTTCTGTGTAACAGTTGAGTGAAAAGGCGTGACATAAGAACTAAAGAATTCTTCCCTTTGTCCAGATGCCATAGATTGTGTGCGATGCCTGCCAGAGTTCTGGTCCAATGCTGAGCGGACGGCCTGCATCCCCAAACAGTTGGAGTTTCTCTCCTTTCATGATGCCATGGGCATCGTCCTCCTGACCATTGCCCTCATTGGCTGCATCAGCACTTTTGTTGTGGTCCTTATATTCCTCTGTCACAGAAGCACTCCCATTGTCAGAGCTAACAACTCTGAGCTGAGCTACCTGTTGCTCTTCTCCTTAACGCTGTGCTTCTTGTGTTCTCTGACCTTCATTGGCCAGCCTTCTAAGTGGTCCTGTATGCTTCGCCATACTGCTTTCGGAATCAGCTTTGCCCTTTGCATCTCTTGCATTCTGGGAAAAACAATAGTAGTCCTAATAGCCTTCAAGTCTACTCGACCAGGAAATCATATTATAAAATGGTTTGGGCCAGCACATCAAAAAGCGATCATTGCCTTTTGCACGATTTCCCAGGTAAGGACTGCCCAACATAAACCCTTATTTATAAAGCTTTTTCTGTAATGTAGAGGTTGAAATAATTCTTTCTTTGCAGGTAATAATCTGTGCTGTATGGTTGGTTGCAGCACCCCCTTCTCCTCATCAAATAATGCCACGTGAGAGTGCAGTAGTCATTTTGTTGTGTGACGAAGGATCACAAGTTGCATTTGGTTTGGTCCTTGGCTACATTGGATTTCTGGCCTGTGTTTGTCTGCTTCTGGCGTTCTTGGCAAGGAAACTCCCAGACAACTTCAATGAGGCAAAACTCATCACTTTCAGTATGCTTATTTTTTGTGCTGTGTGGGTAGCATTTGTTCCTGCCTACATCAGCTCTCCTGGAAAGTATGCCACAGTCACAGAGGTCTTTGCTATATTAGCCTCCAGTTATGGATTACTGGGCTGTATCTTTGCCCCAAAATGCTTTATTATCCTATTTAGGCCAGAGAAAAATACAAGAAAGTACCTGATGTCTAAAATTCCTTCTGGAAAATGTTAGGATTAATTCTATTTTTCTTGCAGTAATTATTATTCTGCACCAATTTAATATGCAAGACAATCGTAGTAAAGTAATTTTACCATTAGATGGCAGCAGAGTGTTATCTGCAATAAAGGAGATCGATCTGGATCAAACACACCTGTCACACTTTTTCTTCTTTTAAAAAATCCTCAACTTCTCCACAGTCTTTATTAACAAGCAGTACATCACCACCTCCAACAACAACTCTTTTTCCTAAGACTACATTCATGACACTCCCGTCATATCTTCCCACATGGGAAGTACTTCTCAGAGTTATATATGACAGCGATTTGGCATCAGTGTTCATACTTATTTGACTTAAGAGACTAAAATCAGGCCCATGTTTTCTGAGATGTGACTGTAGACTTCCCAGCTGTCATTGGTTAGTTGAATTTATGTGTTCCAGAGGCTTTTAAATAAAAACAGCACGCTTGGCTGATCTGAATAAAAATAAACTAAAATAATCAGGCTTTTTCCTGGCTAACATAAATCATCAAGCATTGATTGATCCGTTGTTCCTGTGAGGATAAATTGATATATCAGAAGATGGGAGATTGTAGACCCATGACGTCAGTAAAGATCAGTCAGGAAATAAAGTTAAAGGGAGTTTTAACAACACTGATTTATTCTCATCTTTATCCTTCATTTTTTTAATTTCTAAATGATCAACTAGTTTTAGATTAGGAACACTTTTTGGTAATGTCTACAGTGAAATGAACAGACTAGACAGTAACAGAGACACATAAGGAGATATTAAAATATTTTTTAAAAGGTTGGGTGAACATGAAGAAAAGGATTAAAGTAAAAAGCAGGACTTTTAATTGAAAAGATTTTTTGTTTTCAAAATAGCAGGTAAATACATTGCAGACGTTAACTTATGACCTGGATGCCAATAAAATGTGTCAGGTCAACTGACTGCTGATTCATAAATATCAGACAATATAATTTCAAATTAGGGAAGACACACAACAATAAGCCATACAATTTTGACGTTTTGTACAGTGAGATAATGGTTTTAACTGTATGGAAATTCAACCTAAAATCTTTAAAAAAAAAGAGAAAAACACACCAATCATTCAAGCAGGAATTCAGAAATACACAGGTAGAAAGATTTGGAATTTCTCTTCCAGGATGGTTGAAGCATCTATCATGAAGAAATTTATAAACTTGAAATGTCTGAAAAATATAGACAATCGATACAAAACTAAAGGGGCACAAAGAGAGTATACCAGGAGATAAGGCCATTACTTTTTCCCCATTTTCAATTTTCTAGATATCCACAACAAAAATCTGATGGGGTTCTCAATCTTTTACAAGTTTCACAAGAAAGCTGATCAAGTAAACAAAGACAAAAAAAACATAGCAAAAAAAAAACAGCATCAGTCAGTTGCAATGATTATCTGCCTGAGATTCTGCCTTTGCAGATATATAAAGGATAACAAATTATCAAAAGACAAAGTTACTATCACAAAACATTTATTTACATTTGGGGAAAGGTGTGTACATTTAATTAAACTGCTTTGACAGAGCTTTTCATGCACATTCTTAGCGGAAAATGTGTCTGTTCTTTTCCCATTTTCTGTTCGTTTTATTGCTTGTGAGCTGGTTCTTTATAGACAATGTTTGTCAGATTATCCGACCAGTTTGCTGATGACTATTTTTTTAATTCTTTATTTTTTTCTAATGTTCTTCTAGGAAGGCTCCCCAGGTGGTTGTGTGGAGCAAACCATCAGGAACATCATTTGGTTTTAAATTTTGTGACAAATAGGGTACTTATGGTTCTCTTCCCTAATGTTGTAATTAATATATACAACCTATGAATATAATGAAGGAGTAAAGCGGATTAAAACCATGATTGAAAATTATTTGCGTTTCTCTAACCATCATCCTAGCTCTCTGTCATTCTTCCTTGTTAATACCTCTTCTTTTCAGGTGGCTCTTTCTTTCTGTCACCCATTATGTAATGAGAAAGGGAGTCACAGAGGTGATGGGCACCCTGGAAGCTGCAGCAGAAACTAATGATCTCAACCATAATAATACCATTCACCAGAGACCATGGGTTCCCTCCATTATGCAGACCATCAAATAATTAAAATACTTTTTTGAAAATCCCTGTGTCAACATGTTAATACAAAATAGATGTCAGAACAATTGTTTTATTCTACTAAACTGGGCGAACAAACAAAAAGTGTGTTGAAAGCCGAGAGTTTCTTGCCATGCCTAATGTATGTGAGAGTCAATAGATCATACTGTGTGCAACATGCTCACAGTGGTCATGATTGACCGTAATCAAGCATCAAATCAATTTCTGAGCAGAGAGCATGATGAAATCTGGTTAACTTACAATTTCCGAAGGTTTATGCCGAGGTAGCCTAAGACACCGCAAATAGATTCATGATGATAGAAACCCTATGTGCAGAAAAAAAGAAGACGTGTTGCTCAATTTGATGAAAATCCAAGATGATCGATTTTAGTCCTGTATGTCTTCTCTCCTAATTTTCACTATCTGAACATCAGGTATTTTTGCTATTTTACAGGTTTCCAGATAACATTTAAGATGGAGTTAACTAAACTAGATCTTCTAAAAGGTTACTGGCAGTGGCCACTGACAGCCGGGGCCAAGGATATTTCTACCTTTATTACACCTTGGGGTCTATATTCCCATTCGTTCATGTCATTTGACTTCCGAAATGCTCCCACAACGTTTCAAGGCCTGATAAATAAACTGTTGGCTGGATTAGAGGGGTGTTCCCCTTACTTGGATGATATAATAGTGTTCAGTGAGACGTGGGGAGCTCATGTTCAGCGATAGGCTGCAGTGTTTAATGGGTTAACCTGCCTGGTAATTTGGCTAAATGTGAGTTCGGAAAAGCAACAGTTACCTATCTTGGCAAAGTGGTGAGGTCCACTCAGTATGGTGGTTTGACCTTTGATCGTGTGTGGTTGGTTTGTTTGGTTGGTTATGTTTTTAAACTCCACTCAATTTAAACATCAACACTGAATACTGACTTTCAAATAGAGTATGTTGATTTCGAGGGGAATTGCATTGCCCTTAATTGTCACTGTGTGGACCTCCTGTTATGCTCTCCCACGAACTGGGCATAACACCAAACAGAGCTATAACTCGAGGAACTCCACTATGACTAGTCACCCAAGAGAGTTAATGTAAGATTGCACCACCTCAGCTTTAAAGGATGTCGACAGACTGAGTGGGATTACTTTGGCTTCATCCAAGTCGTCAGGAACTTTGCTTGAAGACCAGAGGGAGTCAGACAAGGGGTAGCTGTAAGAAAGAATGTTTACCAACCACAGACATTATTGCACATAATGATATCCAGTTGTCTATTATTCCTCTCTCCAGAGTCAGAGGAGGAGCTGCAGTTGACCACAGTGCACAGATCAGCATATCAGAAAGTGGGGCACAACCAAGGAATAAAGGCCAATAAAATGCTGAGAAAACTCTAGTTCCTGAAATAAGACTAAATCTCTATTTGAAATTTTCTTATTTAATGAGGACATGAATCCAGGTGGTAACAGTTACCATTTGGTTGAACATATTGTACCGTAAAAGGATCCAAATTTAAATTCTGCTGCCAAAATCTGCTGCTGGACCAAAAAAAGTGGATAACAATCCCCAGGGAAGAAGAATGAACTGCTCCCCTGACCATTGAAGTTTGGCGGGCAGGAAGTACATGACGCAGAGCTAATTCCAAACAATTTACTTAACTTATCAGAGCAAACAACTGGTGGTAAAAGGAATGGCAACCCACTTAAGGCACACATTTTCGGTGACAAAAAAACAAACAGCAAAACTAAACTTTTGCACATAAAAGTCTGCTGTAAACAGCAGAAAACTCCAATTTAGTTGAGTGTAAAAGTATTTGCGGCACAGCACTGTAAAGAACTATGCTACTCCTTATTACAACACTTATACTGTATATTAAAGTCCATCCATCTGCAGGGGAGACAGCCAGAATGATCTGATTTCAAACAATCAGGAAAAACAACATGCAACCGGATTCCATAAACAGGCACAGAAAAATGCAGATTATGATGTGTGTACACACTGATTCTCCTGAGAAGGGGCTTTATTATTGTTTGCATTTCCTCAGATTTTTCACTCAATTTAGTCTGTGTATGAACATTAAATTATTATGTTAATAATTTGAGGACCAGATTATGTTTCATTCAGGTCTGATACCTAAAACCTTGTAATTGAAAGAGAGTTGAGAACAGTTCTTTTTTTTTACAAAAGTGTAATCCAAATAAAGCACCATTATGATTCCCATGAACCCAATTGTGATAAACTTTATACTCTTGTGAGCTGTGAAATGTCAAGTGATGATATCGCATGAGGATGTGGGTCTCCTTTTTCGTCAAAGATGAGAGGTTTGAAGTTCACCTTTTGCAGGTAGAGGGCTGTCTTGGAAAGGGAAAGGTTTTCTTTATCATCACAAAAAAAAAGATAACATTCTCAAAAATCCATGATTTCACTTGTGGTTCTGGCAGCTTACCTACCAGATAAGTCTGTTCTCAAGAATTCACATCTCTCCCCAAGTTTACAGTGTAAATGTTTTTCTTAGCAGGAGTTCATCCATGAACAATTTCACTCTAATGGTGAAATCTAAAGGTGACTCACTCATAATAACACTTAAAGAATATTTAAACTTCAGTTAGAGTTACACAGATATATATAAATATGCTTCATAATACATTTTGCATTAGATTTTCAGAGATTTGTTTGGGTAAACAAGAGAATTTACAGTGGAGAGAAGAGAAATCAAACCAAAATATCATACGAAGACATCGTTTTAGTTGTGGCAGATCAGACGTGGCCCATGCTCCACATTAGAACAGCAGCTATCTTACAACTCCTACAGATTAAACAACTCAGTTATGATGTAAAACAGTGTGACAGTAACTGACTATGTGGTCAAAATTTCTAAGTTTGTCAGTTGAGCTTTCTCTCCAGTTTGGTCATATGCTGTATGGTAATTGCATGAAATCTGTGCAAGGCAAATGCAAACTGCCAAGTAGGAAGTTGGACAGGAGGTCTCAATTACAGCTAATTTCCTCCACTACACAGATCAACTCCAGAAGCCAACACGATGCTGGGCGGATTAAGTTGCACTGGGTCCAACATAGGCCAAACCACGATGTCAGGAGCTCAGTTAAACTGCTATTTACGAAAGGAAAATACATTTTCTACCATCTCACCTTTCACCAAAAAAAAAATTATTTCAGCTAATTTCAGCCAAAGCTGCCTCTGCTTTCATTCAACCAAGAAACAGGCTGCCAATTACAACATCTCCTGCCTGATAAACAGTACCTGGATCTGATTTACCAACAGCAACAGAGGCTCATCATCCCTAAAGACATAATGCCAGCAGTGCATCAGAGGGCAAATATGCATTGCTTGGAGGAGAAGAGTGCAGCCAGAGAACTTCCAAATGATGAAAAAAGTTTACAAAAAGAAAAAGTTTACATTAGCACGCCTTCCAGATAAAAAGGAATGCAAAAGAAAGATTTTAAAAGTGCACCTATTGTGTTATAGTCTTGTGCGCACAACACAATTTCACACCTTGGCCTAGTAACAGGGATGGATGCCAGCTTGAGAAAGTGTGGTTGCAGGTCATTTATCACCACATCAAAAGGAAGGAAGTGGAAGACAACACATCTGATCTACTGTAATCGCTGCCACAGGGGAGGGAAATCCAATTGCGGTCTAACAAGAGGGAAAGAATTTATTGGAGGGAAGATACCGAGCACAGTAATATGAAGTTATGATGCAGCATAAGGGTGTGTCCATTCATATTGCCAGCGATAGGGGTTTCAGAAAAATAGGGTGCAAATTAAATTATTATTACCTGAGAAATGAGAAACCTTTGGAACACGTTCAATGTTATTACATAGCTTCATGTAACCATAAAAGGAGCCTGACAATATATATCAGCATTTTACCACATATGCTAGGTTTTATGGCCGCATGTGGAAGCACCAATATAAATGTTCCACAAGACCAGGAGTAGATTATAAAGGGTGCTTAACAATGAGAGGGGTCGGGGGAAGGAAAGGAGAACTGTCATTTTCAGAAGCAGACTCTGTCAGATGCAAGTGCTCATCCAATTACACTCTGAGAGTCTTCTCTTTCTGCCCTCGCTTTCCTCCAAAGCTCACCACTTTCGGGTTCACCTGGTCTCTTTCTGCTCTTCTCATTCTTTGTCAAATCGTAAAAGGTATCCAGTTTTTAATACCATTCCCCCTCCACATCTCATGTCTTTAATGTTCAGTGTGGAGACCTAAAGTTGTAGCATTATCTGTATATTTCTGTGAATACTCTTGAAGCTTTTATTCTCAACAACCACCAAAGTGTAACATCGAACTGGAAAATTGAAGTTTCCATCAGCCTGCAATTTCCGTTCTGTTTTTTTTTTAGGTGCAGAAAAACTCATTGAACTTATTCTTCACACAAGTGGCAATTTTGAAGATTCTGCAATTTAGCAATTTGAGTGAAAAGAAACATTTAGTCAACATGTTGTTTATTTGCCATACACAAAGTGGAAAAACAGAAACCTACCAAATTAACAGACTCTTGAATTACATAAATCAAATTGGCCATTATTATAGAAAAAAAAAGACATAAAAAACACAAAGATGTATCATCTTGTCTCTTGATGACTGGACCATCTGTCTCTACATCATCTTTTCAAGGGCAGTAAATGTCTATTTTCTGAGGTCTACCACACCATAAACAATAGAACATCTGGCAATCTATATATTTTACCTATTTTGTTCATTTGTAGAGGTTTCGTCAGCTGAAACAAATAGAAAATGTTAAAAGAAATAATTTCAAAGTTTTAAAAAATCTAGTTTTTCCTATCACTTTTTTCACAGATTGTCCCGGAATACTGAGCTAAAGAGAAAATATACCCTCTAGAGACCAAATTTGAAAGCCTCAGCTGTAGGAGATCCCCTTGGGGGGGTACTAAAATTAACGCTAAGGGGAAAGCACAGCTGGGACTTTGTCCACAGAGAAAAGGCTGAATTAAGTCCTCCCTTACCACTAGTAAATGGGAGATAAAGGTATAT